ATTTATTTATTTATATTTATATACAACATGAATAGCTAGTTTCCTTCCTTCCCACTTATATTTCTTACCTACTATATATGCACATATACTTTCATCACACCTACTCGCACAAAGAGACACATCTTTGTGTGCGGGGCATTTTGCGTGTAAGTGGCCGTCTACATTCGTCAGGGGATGGGTGTCACATTCCTTGCAGGATGGCTCGCCAAGAGTTGCAGCCTGTCAGTCCGAAGGCCCACAAACTAAATTCAAAGCAGTACCTGTAGTCTCCATTGTAGTTCCTGTTGTTGGTGTAACCAATTATATATATATATTAATTATATATATATATATATATCAAGGATTTTAGGAGGTATCCCCAAAAAGGAACTACAATGGAGACTATAGGTAGAACCCAAGGCCAGTAAGTCCTGACTGACCACTCTTCCGAAAATACTATTCATGGTCCTTATTTCTTACCCGGAATCCTTGCTTTCCAAACAGAACAGGCTTATACGGCGATATGCACCAAAATCGTATATTCAAGCATCAAGGCTGTGATGTTCGAACCCTTTCAAACCAGATAATGCGTGTCAAAGTATTAGACAAGGCCGGAGCAGGAGGTCACAACTCAACTAACCGCCTTCAAAATCTTACACACCTACGAATGACGTATATATAGATCCCTATAGTAGGTTTTGCACGACCTCTCAACCCCAAACCCAGATACCCCCCCCTCCCCCCCCAAAACAAAAAAACGAAACCCTGCGCAACCCTAAACCCAGGGTTCCCATTATAATTTCAAGGTATACTGTATTCCTTAATTAAGGGATATTGGAGTCTCTGGGACGCGGCCCAGGTGACGACGGATCCCGGAGTCCCCGAAGCCCAGGCCGGGGGACCTAAAGCTGAAGCGCTTTCTGTTGGGCTTTAGGGTTGGTTTAGGGTTTAGGGTCTTGGTAGATTTTAGTTCTTTGGGGTCGTATTTCTTGAATAGGGTTTTTTGTGTGGTTTTGGGGTTCAATGAAATAGGTTCCATACGGTTTGGGTGGGATTTTAGGGGGGCTTTGAGGGCTCTGGGTGCCTTGGGCTTTATGTTGCCCTCTTCCCTTGTCAGCAATCTCATTTGTTGGATGTAAGCTTTGTTTAATTCGATGGTTTCTCTCTCTCAATGCCTGCGAGCCTGAGGCGGCGGCGCAGCCAAAGAGGAGGCTGGCGCATGGCTATTTTCAGTCTTTGAACATACGGTGTAAGCAAACGAACAAACAGCGAATTTGACAAACAAAGCCATAACTGTGCAGGTATGTCCATGCATGTCAGGTCTAGATGCATACCTTGCAAATTACATTTACATGTACAATATGTGCGTGTGTATACATGTCTGCACGTACAGGATCTGATCGCCAGGACCTCTGACCGTCCGTCGGTCATTGTCGTGTTTCAGCTGGCGTACAGGAGTTCGGGGTGTTTTTGGCTTCGGCAGCGCTTTGCAGTGGGCTCCAGCAAAACAGCAGGGTTGTGATTTTGCTGCTGCGAGTGTCAGGGGGGAAGGAAAGGTTGCCTTGCAGGGTTGGGATGCCTTTGTGAAGGATATCTGGGTAGTTCTCTAAATTAAGGTCCCTTTTAGGGTCCTTTTTATAAGGGCGCCTGTACTATATTGGGGACCTAAAAAGTCACCAATACTTTAGAGAACTACCCACGTTCTTTTGATCTGAAGCCCAAACACGCCGAACCTAGGCCTCTCGAAACTCGAAGCCGGAGCCTTGCCCATAAGCCCGTTTAGGGTTTAGGGTTCAGGGTTTAGTGTTTAGGGTTTAGGGTTGGGAGACAGCGTCTAAGTCACAAATCCCACCCTCAAGACGTTCTGGACGAACAATTGTCATTATGACTGTCCATGACACAGGCCAAATGTTCCCACTAGTGTTTCCCCTAAGCCACATGTAACCCTAAACCCTAAACCCACGAGTGTTTCCCCTAAGCCATATTATATATCATATGTCTTCTCAGCTGGACAGGTGACCCCCGGGAGGCCCGTCCGAACTGGCTTTAGGAATTAGGGTTTAGGGTTTAGGGTTGGTCACATGCGGCTTTGCATGACTATGACTGCGTAGGATTGCACAGCTTTTTTTTGGGGTTGGGCATTAGATTTCGATGCTCTGCGGCTTAGGCATCGGGGTAGGGGGTTTAGTGTTGAGGTTTCAAGCTTTAGCTGCTGGGTCATACTTCTCAGACTAATTCAGTCAGAAGTCAATGGTATTCGGGATTGTGATGCCGTGATGGTGTAGACGTTTGAAAGTACGGGCATGTTCTGGGTTTAAAGCGAAAGTCTTAATCTAGCAGCAGTACCCAAAATACGAAGGACGGCAAAGGCCACACCCTGCCGGGTTGATACGAATTTCTGGTGCTGCGGAAATGTACCGAAGGTTCCCCTGGTGCTGCACTTATAGGGATGCTTATCATAAGGGTTCTATCATGCAGGGTCTGCATATAAGGATCCTTCATTTTCGCGACGCGCATCATAACCCGTGGCTTGGCTTTATGGCATTTTATGGCACAATGCATCGCAGCACCTGAAAGCCCAAACCTTTACAGGCCAAAACGGCTAAAACTCCAAAACAATGGCCCCTTAAAATTGCAA